CTTTTCTTCTCAACAGCAAGAAGATTGCTCGTCAGCTGTCTCGTTTAAATGACTTAATTGGCGACATTTATTATTCTGATTGGAAGAAAGATATACAGACTATGTTAGCTATGCTGATCTTAACTGTAACTATGATACTAATTTCCGCTGTAGTGGAAGTTATGAGTTACACATCGTATGATCCGTCGCTGTTCATGCCCTATTATATAGCAGAATTTGTTTGTATCATGTCAGAATGTCAATTCGCAGCTGTTATGATTATTCTCAAACGTATAATTCAGAATTGGAATGTTCAGATTGGTGCTATTAGTGAAGTGGACGATGTAATTAATCTTCCCAATTCTTTAAAACAGATAAACAAGAGAGCATCTAAGACGTTCACAGTTTCAAACAACTTGAAAATTTCAGACCGTTCGAACATTCAGTCTAATGTAATGCGTTTTCAGTATCTTCGAGAACTTCATGTTTCAGCACGTGAAGTTGCTGAATCAGTAAATTCAGCATATTCTCTATTGTTACTCTTGTCTACAGCAATAATGTTCTTATCACTCACACATATTCTTTATTTCATTTTCATGGACTTCGTTGTCCAGAAAAACAGTTTATTGTGTAATGAAACACCAAATATCTCTTACTTCATATGGCTGTTTTATTATGTACTGAGATTGATTTGGTTGGTGTACTTTCCGTGTTTCGCAGCTAAAGAGGTATGTCAATATACTTAGTGCAGTAAAATAATTAAAATAATAATAAGAAACCCCCATACTCGTGAGAACCTGAAATATCACCAACACTTTCTTCGTCACAAGGTTTTCAGGTTATTAAGTTGAATCTGCACGTTGGATAAAACGGAATGTCGGATAATTGGGATTCTACTGTATATAAATTTATCAATGTTTGCTTTTAGATAAATTCGGAATATCGATTTCTGATAACAGGATAATACAGCGAGAGTTTCATTCTTTCCAAAAATAAATAAACTGTTTTATTTTTCAGGCGAATCGAACTGCTATCGTGGTTCACAAATTACTGGGACAGACAAATGACTTGGTTCTAAGGGAAGAGGTAAAAAGAAAACCATTTCAGAAGCACGCTCGGTGCAAAAATTGGCCACGACAGGCCTCTGTTAAGATTATGTTCTGTTCTGTAAAATTCCTGTGTTACTGTAAACATCAAAAGTAATGTAATGTAACACTTATTTCATTAGCAATGTATCACCGTCTCTTCATGCAAGTTTCAGTTATAATAAAATATCATTAGTGTTGAGGGTTTCATAAATGTTGTCTTCTTGAAGTGGTTATTTAATAGCTATTTGAGAAACCTTATAACAAATACTTACGATAAAAACATAATTTGCTTTTATTACGTATGTATGCAAATTTGCAACCGAACATCTCATTAACA